TTTTGTATGATTCAATCAGTATTGGCAAACTCTTATTTTAAATCAAAGTATAGTGAAGTCTTGGAAGGCTTTTACTGCACGGTCATCATTATGTAGCGTTTCTTTCGACTTTTTGAACTTCTCTTCTTGCGTCACGAACGGTGCGTGTAACATTTCGCAATTAGCAATAATTACGGTCAAGAGCCACGCCTTTTCTTAAACTATACTCACTAATGACGACTCTGTTTTGTAGATGTACTAGTTAATATAATTCAACGCAAATATGACTCACGACAAAGATAATACAACGTTTGTTTGTTTAGTTTGTCAATTTGGAAAATATTCTTGCATTCAGACCGATGGTTTCTGAAAGCAAAATCTCTGTCGAAAATCACTAGCTGTCACCCGCGACTCCATCCGCGCGGAAGAAATAAAAAGTAAAAATAAGTAGCCAGTGTGTTCTTCTAGATTCCGTTCTACATCTATGCGAATTTCAATCCCATCCATGCAGCTGTTCTGGAGATAAATTCAAACAAAAATTCATACATCCATCTATAAATCCATCTATAAACTTTCGTGTTTATTATATTAACGACATCCCTCTCATTATCTTTGGCAAAACAAAAAAAAACAATATGTTTCAAACAGGGTTTTTGGTTTGAGAAACCCTAAAGTGATGAGAGTAGTAGTTTTTTTTCCTTGGACTCTATCACAAGTTTTGGGATAACGGTTCGCCGAGTATACATATTAAAAAGAAAATGCTTTAACAGTGGTAGAGCCCGCTTTAACATCTTCGCACGAATTGGCCCGGCTCGCCCGGTGAAATACCACGACCACACAGGAGACAGGCTTGAAGTGGATGCAATTCCGCGTTTCGTCTGATGAGTGTGCGTCCCGGAGGCCTAATTTAGTCCTCTTTCCCTTCCCACCCTTTTTCTTATAAGGAAAGGATACGAAGTGGACTTTCCGGATGAGAGGATGCATGGAAAGGGAAAATATTTTCTTTCTGTGCATCCTCTCCTCCGTCGATTAAAGGTAGGCAACGCATATGCAATTGCGTATATCCAAGGGCAACGGTCACTTCGTTATTTCAGCGATCTCAGATGGCCGCTCGCTTATTTGCCACCTTACGATATAAAAAAAAGATACGAAGACTTTTATGCGAAATGAAAATTCATTATAAAATGTTTCGGAAATTGAAATGTCTTATATAATAATTATTATAGTATTCTTTCCTTTGAGGAACAAGCATATTTTACATGATACGGTCAAACAGGTATAATTTTTTTTTAATTTATTGCTTGTTTTAAGCGAGATTGATGGCGTATTGGAAATAGGCTTTTATCCAAAGATGTTTGTAAGCGAGATACATTATCTGCTCCGTGATTGTAATCTTTACTGTGTCACGGTCCAAAGTATAATTTGTATTTGAATGTTGTAACATTTCCAAGTATCAATCAATCATTGTCCAATTTCACTTTTGTGAAGTCAAGACATAATGGCAGTTGTCAAACAAAGTTTCTGACAAGCATTTGGTTGAAATAGGTTGAAACTATTTTTTTAATGTTACATCTCTCAACCAAAATTGTTATTTAATATTGTTAATTAATATTAATAATTATGCGTAAGAAGGTGTGAAATATTGGATGAGGGTTGATAGAGATGTATGGAGGAGTAACTAAGCCGACCTTCTGTATGGATAAGGGCAGGTTGATGACGATGATGGTGTTGTAATATTACCTTACGTAACTTCTATTCATCAAAATAGGTTCTGATTTAAACTGTGCAAAGGTAGTAAGGCGTTCTAAATCGCATTAGTAAAGGAGACATTGATATCGTAAAGTTGTTCTTGTTCGGAATATACAGAGTTGCACAAAGCTATGCTTTGTTTGTTGGTAACCTGGTTGAGATATTTGCCATTTACATGGTCTTTGAAACCTACAAGTATATGAAGGCTTACATGATGCAGGCAATGTGTCGTAGATTTGGTCATATTATAATTTCAAATCTCTTCAATAAATATGTAGCCAATTGGCAGTTACGCGTTTTGCTAATAAAAAATACCAGGCGTTGATACATTTATTACGTTTAAATTTATTTACGATTCGTTACAACTTCAGTATTTTAATTAAGTACTCAAAAATAATTGTTTTGTATGGTGGAAAATAAAAAAAAATATAAATTAGCTATAATCAGCAATATCGGATCAAATGTGTTAGAAAAGGTGATTAGTAAAATTTCATTACCACGTTCTATGTAATGGTAACTTAAGGAAAGTAAACTTCATATTTTTTAGTTATTTTTTGTGTAATCCCGAAAGTAATAACGATTTTAAAACACACATAAAGACCCTAACAGTTTTGGTATTTTATGATTTCAAAAATGTTTGATTAAATTGGAATTCACGCATTCTAGTTTATTTAATGACCACGGTTCAAACTGCGCAAGCAATCCGATTTTTCACGTAATGTCCGTATAGATGTCGCTATGTATTATTAATTATTATTGCTATCGCTCAGTGTCCTTATAAGGGACACAAAATTACAATAGTCCACTAGCGCCCCCCTGCCAGTGTCAGTACAAAAAGAATGTATATATTTTATATAGTCATCTATATAAAATATAAGGAGGCAAACAAGCAGCAGGTCACCAAATATTAGTTGATTCGACGCCCAAAGGAACTCTCGAGTTGATGTACACTCTTCCCTTGAAGTGAATACTTAGTGGCAGGATAAAAATACAAGGGAATTCTTTCCCAGGGGCAGTGAGTCAAGCCAATCAGCAAGACTCCGGTAGTATTTCTGTGAATCATTTCTACCAAAGATTCACGTAAATTTATGTGTCTAATGTTTTAGGAACGCGTAAAGAACAAACTTTGATTTTTGTAATATAAAGATACACGATTTTATATGTTTATGATGCGCGTCTTTATTAAATTTAATTTTTAGTTTACGTGTGTAAAGTTATTAAATAGTTAAGGCAATGCTACTAGAAGTCTGGTCACGAGGTCTATTTAAGCCTTTTGCCAACAAAACGGACACAACAAAACCTGTTTGCCAACAATGTTTTTCACAGTAGACACTTAATGAACTCGTTTATTTCGTGTTTTTACATATCTCTACATATTTTTTTTTTTACTTTTTAGTTTGTACATTTATTCTTTACACGTGCTTAAATCATTATTCAGATTGCGATAAAACTTATTGTTTTGTTTCGAGAAACAAGACGTATGTCTTCAGACTACTCTACATTCTAAAGAGTATGTGTGTCTCAAAGACGTTGATGTTTGTTTAAAAAAATAGCCAATAACATGCTTGCGTACATCGTCTACTTTAACGGCCAAGACCAGTCATATCGGTCTAGCCGAGATTACCCGGAATAACCATGGCCTTGCAGACATACAGCCAGACAAAAATTGTTCAAAATATTTTTTTTCTGGATGTTACAAACAGATACTGCAATTTTATTGATATGTATAGATTACGTTGGAGTCACGTTATTGTGTTGCCGGATTGTAAGATGATTTGAATGTTACAATGTTACCAACCTAAATGAAAATATTCTATTAAAATAATTGTAATGTAGGAAACAAAAGTTTTCTCTTTGATGTTTGTATTAAGAGCTTTATGCGTGTAGCGTTCGTTACGAATGTTAATTTTGTCGACTAATCCGCATTAGGTACTTGTTTGTTTTTCTTCTTCTTCTTGAGATTCCACTCCGACTAACGAAGGTAGGCGATCACTTCTCTATATTTTCTCTTATCTCTTGCAAGGCGAAATAGTTGGGCGGCACTCGCAACCCCGGTCCACTCTCGGATTTTGCGCAACCGGGAATTCTTTCTGCGACCAACACTCCTGTATGTTTGTTTTTATATCGCTACAAATATCAAAATCAGTGACGTTGTAGTTGTTTCTTACCATTAATCTCAGATTATTGTTACTGGTATTGGTATTAGTAATAGTTTAATGTGTAGGACAATCGTCATTTTGTAGCTAGATATAGCTTCTCGTGACGAGATAGCCATTCATAACAGGGCTCTCTGTATATCTTACTTCTTACTAATGTTATAAATGCGAATGTTTAGATCGATAGATGGATGGATGTATGTTTGTTTGAAGGTATCTCCATAACGGCTGAACGGATCTCAATGAAATTTGGCACACATATAAAACATAGTCTGGAAGAACACATAGGCTACTAATTAAGTTTGTTTTTTTAGTCCGCGCGGACGGAGTCGCGGGCGACAGCTAATTTAATTATAATTTATATAAATGAATAAAAAAGCATTTGTTATAAAGTGTAATTATTCATTTAAACTGATGTAATTTGAATTAATAACTCCGATTTCAAACATTACTTTTAATGTAAAAGTTTTTTTTATTTTGTATTGTTAAAGTTGAAAAATAACATCGAGTACATTAAAAAAGTGCGCACGTTGACATGAGAAAAAAAATGACATCCCTTTGTACTCTTAGGTATGAATTTTAAAAGTTTACTGACCTCAAAACAATAAATGTTACAAAGTTATTTTTACTATTACTGTGAAGTTTAATTTTAACACTGTCGTTGTGCCAAATACATGAGACTACCAAATATTTGGCTATTTTAAATTACAGATTTTTCTTGTTACTTTTAAACTTTAGGATTTGAAACTTAAACACAGATTCTTATTTACATCCAGACTACAAGAAAATTAAAGAACGTTAGGTTAGAAATTGAAAATTTAAATCTTTTATACGTAAAACCTGCAAGTAATATTTATTCAAAGTATGATCCGGAATTAATAAAAAACGTAGCAAGTATAAAAGCAAGCATCGTTTAAAATTTAAATCCACATAACAAACTTCTGTTGGACATTGAAACATCTTCGTTACTTTTTGCTTTACAAAATGTATTTTGTTTTATTTTGTGCTCTGTCAGCCTTGACCTTAAGTAGCGCTAAACAGGTAACAATTTTTATCTTAATACTTATAATATTAAGTAAATAAGAATTATTCTTACATTAATCTATCTCATCATACTTAAATATTTCTAGTTGCACAAGTCGCCTTTGGTTTAACGTACACCAAATACCAAAATAATTTGTCTTCATAGTTAAACTCTTTACGTAATATCTATTAATCATAAACTTAACAAATCCATAGTTGCATGGTTTTCATTTTAGAATCAGTGGACCTAGTACGAGTATTTGCGACAAGCATCTTCGTATCGTCATTATTAATTAGTATGATAACCGTCGCTGTACAAAATTTTATGTTCATATTTCACTCGCTATGATAACCAGGGCACGGGCCTTGTGCAAAATTAATGAAGCTCTTATTTTGCTTATACACATTCCAACACTGATTTATATATTATAAACATTAACTGAAGACCATTACCTTACGCAATTCAGTTTTATTATCAGCAACTGAAGTTTTCCTTAATTCATTTGTTAATTTATAGCATTACTTGTTTTTGTATAAGATAAGATAATTTTATTAACGCATTTTTATTCCAGACTTATATTGACTTGCCTTCGGACGTTGTCGGTTTACTTACTGAGAAGTCGGTGGGTTGTATAGCTGAAACTGGTGCGGATATCAACATTCTGCAGCGCGTCTTTCAATGGCAATTCGACAATGATAAAACAAGCAAAAAGTTCTCATTTTGCCTTTTCAAAAATGTCGGTCTAATTGACGATACTGGTAAATTCGATGAAAGTCAAATTATTAGTTCATTGTACAGGAATAGTAATAAAAAGGAGGAGATAGCAAAGATCGCTAAGGAATGTAATAGTAAAGACATCAAAAAGCCTTTAAACAAAATGCATGAAGGGATTCAATGCTTTTTCAAAAATACCCCTGTTTTGTTACAAGTTAAGTTATAAAAAAAGTTATTCTGAGAAATAATAAATAAATACACTGGTCATAAATACTTAATTGATTTGTGAAAATGCTTATTTGTATTCGTATTTTAAAATCACTCATATGTTTAAATTTATATTAAGATGAAGAATTTCAGTGGCAAATAAATATAATTTGTAAAATTTGGTTTATTTTTAATTTCTCAAAACAATGTCCATGGAAGCCTACTTCATAGCATGACGTTTAATCTTACTAATATTATAAATGCGAATGTTTAGATGGATGTTTGTTTGAAGGTATCTTCAGAATGGTTGAACGAATCTTGATGGAATTTAATATACATGTAGAACATACTCTGAAAGAACACATAAGTTACTCATTAAGTTTTTTTTAAAATTCCGGGCGGACGGACTCGCGGGCAACAGCTAGTATTCATATTTTACATCATAGCGTAACTGATCTATAGACTTTGGAATTTAAACCAGGAAATACAGAAATAACTTACGGAAAAGTTACTATTAATAGTTACTAACTATAAGTAAAAAAGTGTATAAATGGTATATGGTTAACTTCTGTATAAATATTGTGGCAACAGAATTTTAAGATAGTCGTATATATAGAAATTACTAGAGCTATAAGAACCTTTATAAAATCTGTACATAATTTAGAAAAGACTGTCATCTACATCTTTAGCGAGAATACAACCATTAGTTTTAAAATCTATTCTTGTCTGCGATTTCCATATTTTTACATAGATGGCACTGTTCTTAGAACTTATTTCCATATCATACTAATATGATAAATGTGAATATTTAGATGGATGGTTGGAGGGATGTTTGTTTGAAGGTAACTCCAGAACGTCTCATCGGATCTTCATGAAATTTGGCACAGATGTAAAACATAGACTGGAAGAACACATAGGCTACTCAATAAGTTTATTTTTAATATCGCGCAGAGGGAGTCGCGGACGACAGCTACTTAAAAAATCTCAAGCGTATTACAGTTGTGTATCCTTATCCATCCTTTTCTAATAGATATAAGGAGAGGACGAGACTTGAAGGGGTAGACAGGAAAGAGAATTATTAACTGGCATCGTAAGGTCAGTCAGTAAGAAAAATAATATAGTTTGTAATTGGTATTATGCGATACCATTACATAATAAATAATTAGTTGGGTTAAATCGTCGTTTTCGATCAAGGAATCTATGGCAGTATGTTGTACACCTCTTTCCCGGACACCCTGTATATACATAATTACGATAGCATATCGTAGTACTGTGGTTTGAGTATATTTAATCATCAGCTGAGCCGCGTTTGTGCCTGAGCAAAGAAATTCTCTACACCGGTCTATTTGAGCTTGTCGCAACCAACTCTTGGCTCTGATAATCTTAAGATTAGTATGAATCATACAGCACTGAGTTTATTTAATCTTAGTTATATTATAAATATGAAGGTTTGGATGGATGGATGTTTTTTCAAGGATGTTCTTCAGCACGATTGAACGGATCCTGCTGCAATTTGGCATAGATATAGAACATACTCTGAAAGAACACATAGGCTAATCATTAAGTTTTTTTAAGGCGCGGACGGAGTCGCGGGCGACAGTTAGGGCTTTGTTTTTTTATACTATGAGTTAATGTAGATGAAATAAGGAAAAGCATACAAGGTAAACGAGTTTTTTACTGAGAAATAGGTACGTGGTTTGTGTATGTATATATTGTAAAAACAATTTGTAACAATGTATACGCGATCGTTAAAATTTTACATTGGGATAGACTCAAAATATTGGCCTTGAATATTGTAAAGACAATTCTTACGTCATTAGTAAGGACATCTTTGTTACGACGGCGAGGAAAAGTACGCATCTAGCAATATTAAGTAACTAGCGCTTTCCCGCGTCTTCGTCTGCGCAGAATTAGAATAATCTATAATATTCCCATATCCTTCAGATACCTTCCCGTAAAAATTGGTGTAAATGAAACAATTCTTTTATCTAAATGTGTATGGAACGTACTTCTTACATTAATAGTTGTTTTTGGTAGAATATACAGTTTTCCTAATAAAATTCTAATGAAAATGCGGGCAACGTGCTGCCAGCTTGCTACTTATTTTATCACTTATTAGGGTAAGCTAATCAAAGCACAATAATCAATACATGCTCTTATAAATTAGTGTTAGCTAAACGTCCTAGTAGTAGTTAATTAAGTGTTAATATAATATTACTAGCTGTCGCCCGCGATTCCGTCCGCAAGTAGTTACGATCAAATTTAATAAGTATCCTATGTGTTCTTTCAAACTATGTTCTACATCTATGCCAAATTCCAGCTAGATTCATACATCCGTTGCGGAGATACCTTCATACAAACATCCATCCATCCATCTAAACTTTCGCATTTATAATATTAGTATGATTAACTAGCTGTTGCCTGCTTCTCCGATCGCACGGAATTAAAAAAAAACTTAATAAGCAGCCTGTGTTCGTTGTTCGGAAACGAAGACATTGGGTCAAAATTGTTGTTTTATGTTTGATTTATTGTACCGTAAAATTTTGCGGCAGTACTGGCATATGGTGGGGTTTTAAAAAAAAGTCTCAGTTTTTTTTAATGGCATGAGATTGATGACAATACATTTTTATACAAGTTTTTCGACAAAGGAAATCCAGTGACAGTAACTTGAACAATCACGGAGTAGAGAGCGTCAAACTAATCTGGATGAGATAGAGACTGGCTTCATCCGCGCGGAATTAAAAAAAAAAACGAGTATAATATCTATGTGTCAATTTCCGCGTAGCCGTTTTGGAATTACCAGCTAACAAACATCCATCTAAACTTTCGCATTTATATTAGTAAGATTGTAAAGAATGAATAGAAATTATTCATAATTATACAAGGTCGGGAGTTAAAATTTCACGAAAATTGATAAAACGTGATTATTATAATAAACCTTCATAGTGTAATTTATAAGTAATATATGACGGTGCAATGAACAAGGTATGTATATAAAAGTGGATGGCAGTATTGGTCAGTATTCAGTAACCAGCATTGTACGAGAACACATCATAGTAAAATAATTATTTGTAAATCAAAATGATGGTCAAAACAACTACTTTATTATTCTTGTGCACTGTTTTGGTTGGAATCACCACTGCTAGAAAGGTAATTTTTTTCTAAATTTTATATTAAGTTACTAATATGTGGACTACGATAGAAGTCAGTAAATCATGAATGTCAGTCGGGAAGTCATAAATGACAGTGTTATTTACAACTAAGTTGTACCCGCGGCATCGTCTACGTAAAATTAAAACAAGGTTTAATAGTATATTATGTGTTGAGGCTTTGTTCTATATATGTACCAAATTACAGTGAGATGTGTTGAACTGTTGCGGAGTTATCAATTAAATATTTAAATCAAACTTATCTTACATTTCCGGGATCAAAGGTAGCCTACGTGTTTTTCCAGACTGTATTTGACATCTTTACCGAATTTCATTGAAATCCATGCAGCTGTTCTGGAGATACTTTCGAACAAACATACATCTATCTATACATCCAAACATTCGCATTATAATATTAGTAAGATGGTATAGATAAATCAAGAGACATTCATGTTCATACAGAGTCTTACTTATATGTCTTAGTCTAATTCTGTCATTAGGTTTCAAAGCTTGTTAATAAACCAAACGAGTATAAAATTATATTGGTCAATATATTATTGAAAGAACAAAAAATATAGAACAAAAAGTTATTTTTCCCAAATTGATTTTCATTGAAATTTGGTGAATCGTACGGTCTGATAGTAAATTTAAAATATTATTATAATTATGGGGGCTTAATGAAAGATTTAATTATAATAGTTCATAATTACTAACTATTGTTTTTTTTTAATAATAGCGTCCTTAATTAACAAATTAATTAGTAGCATAATAACTGTGGAAATGGATTCTTTCTTTGTGTGTGAAATCTTAAATAATTAAATAACAAATGTGTTTGATAGTTCATTATATTATAAGCTGTCGCCCGCGACTTCCTTCTCGAACTTAATAAATACTTATTAGACTATTTGCTCTTCCAGACTATATTTTATATCTGTGCCAAATTTCATCTAGATCCATTGAGCCTTTCCGCAGATACCTTTTAACAAACATCCATCAAAACATTTGCATTTATAATATTAGTAAGATATAAGTTATATATTTCTTTGTATAAATAGGCAAATTGTTTTCTTTATAGGCAACGATTGGAGTTCCATCTGACATTGTTGGCCTTATAACGGAAAAGTCCGTAGAATGTATCGCCGAAACAGGAGCTGATGTTAACATCCTACAGCGTATCTTCAATTGGCAGTTCGATAATAATAAGACGAGCAAAAAGTTCTCCTTCTGTCTCTTCAAGAAAGCCGGCTTCAGTGACGACACCGGACATTTCCACAAGGATAAGATCTTAGCTTTGTATGAAAAGAGTGACAAGAAAGAGGAGATTAAAGCCGCTGTTGATGCATGTGACAAAATAGCTGAGAAGAATCCATTGGAAACTATGTATAAAGTTATTCTTTGTTTCTTTGACAAAACTCCAGTACTACTGGAAGTGAAATTGGATTAAAACTTAACCAAATGTTCAGTACCACTGTTATAATTGGTTGTTTGTTTAAACAGTAGTTTCTAGATCAATGTTATAAAGGTTTTGTTAATAAATGGTTATGTTATTATAATTTTGTTGTTTTCCTTGTTATCGAGAGATCTTAAAGCAGAAGTAATTACACAGCATTAAGGTGCTGACCCACAATTATTAGTATTCAACAACAACAATGACCACGAACCTTTTGTTTTAATTATATTTTAGTTTTTCTGTTTTATATTATTTTATTACATTTTTTTATGAAAATACATTAATTAAATATTGAAAAGAGCGCATATAATTGATTCTAAGTACTGGTCCGGTACAAAATAGGTACAGATAATGCAAATCTGCGAAGGATTGTTTAATGCTACTATTACTTCAAAACCAGTTTGTAATTATACAAGATACGACAATTAATCCTATTGACAGCAAATTATTATAATGACATTTATAGTACTAGCTTGTTACTTTAGTTTTTTTTAAGCACTGCAATTATTTAATCGGAAAAACATAATTAAAGGGAAAACAATTATTTATTAGGA